GAAGCTGGGACAAGTAATGGGAGCTTATTCCATTACACAGGACTAGGGATTTGAACTGCCGAACTGCCGACCTTTCTGATCGACAAGTTCAGCATCTTAGCCATTGAGCCACTGCCATCCCTTAGGTTCTAAGGTTAGAATCGCCTTTGGTAAGATGGACAGAATACACATTCGATAAATAAATAATTACAGGATTAGACTTGGATATATCACACCATACTAAGTTGGAGAACTCGGTCAATTTGTAAGCTACTTAGCTTAGGTATTTTAGCAAAAGTAATATGGCGACGAAAATATTGTGGAGATACATGGTCACTTTGCAAAAATTAAAAAAAAACCACTTCATGTTTTCCTTTTAAACAGAATGAATATAGGTTTAAGGAGAGAAGCAACTTAGAACTGAGGAGAAATTTCCTGACAGTTAAAACAATTAATCAGTGGAACAGAAGTTGCCTCCAGAAGTTGTGAATGCCCCAACACTGGAAGTCTTTAAGAAGATGTTGGATAGCCATTTGTCTGGAATGGTGTAGGGTTTCCTCCCTAGGCAGGTGGTTGGACTAGAAGACCTCCAAGATCCCTTCCAATTCTGCTGTTATATTTGTATTTATTATTTTTACAAATAATAGGATGCAAACATGTCCAAAATACTCCCCTCCTCCTTTTTCCCCACACCACATGAAGTTGGTTGGGTTCAGAGAGGGGAACTGGATCACTCAGGTGCTCAAAGTCACCCAGCTGTTTTTCATGCCTAAGGCAGAACTAGAACTCTCCCTCTCCTGATGATTGGTCCAAAGTCACACAGCTGGATTTCACATCTAAGTTGGAACTAAAACTCACAGTTTCCTGCTGACTGGTGCAAAGTCCTGCAGGCATTTTCACACCTAAGGCAGAACTAGAACTCAGAACTAAAGTAATGTCACCTATGAGTTGATCCCCTTTTGTGGGCAACTGGACATATCTGTGTCTTTTATTTGGTGGAAGTATGGAAATGATTTGCTATTGCTTTATTTTGAGTTGTTTCCCCAACTCTTCCAACTTTCCAGACTAGCTCATATTATACAGATGTATATACAATGTTCAGGTTGTTGTAATAAAAGAGCCAATTGAGAGAAGCTTAATGGAAAAGCTGAAGGCTTCAGATAAGCCAAAGTAGAAATTCAAGTTATTATGTAGGGCTTGCTAATTTTTTAAAATTAGTTTGACATTGCTAGCCTTCCTTGCAGTAATTGAATAATTACACAGTAATTACCCACTTGCAGATTCTTCCTCTTCAAACTGAGACTGAATTACTGTCTCACCATAATTTCGGGAGCTTGAATTTTGAATAAAATTTGTGAGTTGAAAAAGATGCTATTGAAAGAAGCCATTGTTGTTGTCTCTCCTAATGGAAAATATAAAGCTCATGTCTATTTTTGAAGTGAAGCATCTTGGATTTAATATAACTTATTCTTGTATTTGGCAGAAACAAGAGATCTAACCAAACTCATTGTGTCTGTTTTCCTGGAGCAATGGTAAGGGGGCAGAGATAGTCCTCTGTTTATGGCCGTAAAATTGAATTTGGAATTGCAATCATAAGTTGGGCCAGTTATTAAATAGATCATCATGTCACTGACCCAACTTGATGACATTTCAAAGCAAATTTGTGGTCATTAAATGAAGCTATTGTCTTCAACGGGGAGATCTTTTGCCAGAAATTGGAAGTAAGCACCAGTTTCCCACAAAAAAAACATCGTAAATTGTGGTCATATGACTGCAGAATATTTGAGGGGTTGCCACAGAGAGGAGAAGGTCAATCTATTTTCCAAAGTACCCGAAGGCCAGGCAAGGAGCAATTGATGAAAACTGACCAAGGAGAGATTCGGNGATGTAGAAAAGATGTGGAGACTCTAGAAAGAGTGCAGAAAAAGAGCAACAAAGATGATTAGGAGACTGGAGGCTAAAACATATAAAGAACGGTTGCAGGATCTGGGTATGTCTAGTTTAATGAAAAGAAGGATTAGGGGAGACATGATAGCAGTCTTCCGATATCGCAAGAAGAGGGAGTCAAGCTATTCTCCAAGGCACCTGACCTGAGGGTAGAACAAGAAGCAATGGGTGGAAACTAATCAAGGAGAGAAGCAATTCAGTTCTAGAGGAGAAATTTCCTGACAGTGAGAACAATTAACCAGTGGAACAGAAGTTGCCTCCAGAAGTTGTGAATGCCCCAACGCTGGAAGTCTTTAAGAAGATGTTGGAGAGCCATTTGTCTGCAACAGTGTAGGGTTTCCTGCCTAGGCAGGGGGTTGGACTAGAAGACCTCCAAAGCACCTTCTAACTCTATTCTATTCTAGAGAAGGGGAATCTGTCATTACTTCAAACAGTGACTATGTAACCAGTGGAGAAAGTGAAAACTGTTTGGGGATGTTTCAGTTGGAAGGTTTTTAAGAGATTTAAATTTAGCAGCTGGGGCAATGGGGTCGCACGATGAGTCTGTCTGAACAAATGGTTGTGGTTGATTGATGGGAGAGGGTTGTCTCCTACGTGAGGCAATCTGCGCTGTGATTGGCTGCTGTGGGTGCGGAGGAGTGGGCTCCTTTTTTTCTGATGCTCCTGTTTGCCTGAGTTTCTTGTTCGCTGCATATATAGATGTAAAATATATTTATTTATATAAAACTTTGTGTCAGCGTCTCTGACTTCATTTGGACACCTGCTGCACAATTTCCTGACAAAGGTGATACCTACAACTTTAAAAGAATGATGAAGAGGATTTTTTAAAGCTGGATTTGAATAACATTTACTTTTAAAAAATCTTGGTAGTAGAGGATTTAGATTTACAGATTCTGCAATTAAGGGAGGCATCAATTTAAGTTCCAATTTTCTTCCTTCCCTTCCTTCTCTCTCTCTATTTCCTTCTTTCCTCCCTATCTCTCTCCTCCCTTTTTCTGCTCCACTCTGCTCCCTCCTTCCCTCTCCTCCCCCTCCCTCTTTCCTCCCTCCTCCCTCTCTTCCCTGCCTCCCTTTCCTTCCCTCCCTGTCCTTGCTCCCTCTCTTCCCCTCCCCACTTCCCTCCATCCCCTCGCTCCCTCCTTCCCTCTCTCCTTTCTTCCTCCCTTCTTTCCTTCTGCAGGTGGTGGTCAATGCCTTGCTTGGAGCCATTCCTTCCATTATGAACGTGCTGCTTGTCTGCCTGATTTTTTGGCTCATCTTTAGCATTGTTGGAGTCAGCCTGTTTGCCGGAAAATTTGGAAAATGCATTAACCTGACTGAGACAAATAGCGTTATCAACGAAAGTGTCATTTTTCGGAAGTCAGATTGCAGGATGAAAAACATCACGGGAGGACTCTATTGGATCACTGTTAAAGTGAATTTTGATAATGTTGGCCTAGGCTATTTGGCTCTTCTTCAAGTGGTAGGTTTGAGAATTTGTGCGATCTTTCTCTCTTCCATCTACCCAGTCCTATCTGACCTCTTGCAGATTTACCCTCCTGTCCCAGCCATAATTTAGTTACATGCTTATTTAACTTGTACTCTGCTTTTCATGCAAGTTTTAGAAGTAGATGAGCTGGTCAACCAATAGTCCCAGGAATGTTTTTTTCTTCTTCTTCATGCACTAATATTCTTTGTGGTGAATGCATCAAACTTGGATTCTGCAGGAAAACAGCCTTCAAGTTTAAAGTTATAATAAAAGTATATACAATTGGTCCTTGCACTTAATGGCTGTCACAGCATCCGCAGGATCATGTGATCAAAATTCTAGGAGTCTTAAAGTGGCCAAGCTTGGACATCCCAGATCTAAGGTAAAAGGTCAGCATCTTATGGACTTTTGGCTGGTCTCAGAAGCTAAGTAGGTTTAGTCTGGGTTAGTATTTAGTTGAGACTCTATTTAAGAATCTCAAAAACATAGATTTTCCTGGGAAATTAAATAATCCTAGAAGGCAACAATAGAGTGGTAAGCTTCCCAAGAAAAGTTTATGGATAGAAATCTCTAAAACTGGGGTTTTTGCTGGCTGGGGAATTCTGGGAGTTGAAGTCTGCCAGGCTTAAAGTTGCCAAGGTTGGAGACCCCTGCTCTAGAAGACAAACATCGCTTCTGGACATTCTTATATTTTTCTAATTAAGAAGCCACAGGTGTCTATTTTTAACCAATACATTTTTTAAAAATCAAAGTGTTAAAATATGTATGCACATGTATGCAAATATTCATGTAGATGGTTGTTTCTGCATTTATTTTCTTTTTATATGTGTGTGTTTGTGTGTCTGTTTTCTAGTTTCACTTTGTTTTTATATTTTTTTTTCTCTTTCGGAGCTTCCATTTTAATGTTTTGAAATAAAAAATAACAATTTAATGGTTAAAAAAGAAGAAGCCACATGCGTGATTATCTCCAAAGTATTTTGAATGGAAACTAATTGAAAGCCTTCAACTCCTTACCATTTGCCTATTGTCCAACAGCTTATTTATATTGCAGCAATTATTTCATCATTTTTTTAAATTTTCTTTTAGGCAACTTTTAAAGGTTGGACGGACATAATGTATGCAGCAGTTGATTCAACAGGAGTAAGTTCTAGACAAATTTATTTTCTACTTCTTGTGTTAATTCTAACCAACGGTTCCCTTCTCTGTCCAGTTGTAATGCAATATAAAGGCATCTTTCAAGAACTAGTTTGGCCTAGTGGTTAAAGCACCAGGCTAGAAACCAGGAGGTGGCGATTTCTAGTCCCACCTAGGCATGACAGTTGGCTAGGGGACTTTGGTCCAATCACCAGGAGTCTGTGAGTTTCAGTCCTTCCCCCGGCATGGAATCTGGCTATTTGGGCCAATCAGCAGGAGGTGGTGAGTTCTAGTCCCACCATTGGCAAGAAAGCCACTGTATGACTTTGGACCAGTCATTCTTCTTAGCCCAAATAGGAGGAGAAAGGAATATCTTTGTAGGTTATTTATAAAAAATAATAAAGATGAGATATTAAAAAAGTAAGTTAAATAAATAAATAAATATTTATTAATGAAAATTTATTTATTAATAAAATTTATAGGCCGCCCAATCCCGAAGGACCACACCACACCACACCACAATTAATGCCAGATGAAATACGAGGCTGTCCCTTGGCTCTGTGGAGGATAGTGACATCCAGATGTTTTCTAAAGCTATCTTTATACTATATATGCATAAGTTGGTGAGAAAGAAAATATGTATGTAGTTTAGGTAAACCGTTCTAAATTTACAATTTGCCCTCGAAGAAACTCTTCTCACACTGCCAAAACATGTGACTAATATGCAGACTAAAATAAGGGGTGGGAGTTTGTGGTATATTCTTATGGGAATCCAGTTAGTCTGTTTTCCCTCAACTTCACCCCAATGCAAATATTGCCATTTAGACAACCGGCAACTGCCAAGCAGAAAACATGGTTATGTAAGACCATTCTGGTGTATAGTAAAGCCACATTAACAGTTCAATAACTCAGAAAGGGCCCCTCGGCAGCTTCTTGCTCCATCCGTTAGGCAGCTGCGGGCTACGCTGTTCCTTAAACTGACCATTTTCTAGATAGTTTCTCTTCGCCTGGTCTATCAAGGTCATTTCCACATCCCATTACCATTACTGGCAGTCAAAGGTTGGAGTTCCTCAGCTCCTGTATAAAGGTGCAGGTTTCCTTTGTCTTCTTGTGTTCTGACTCTAGGGGGCAGTGCAGTGCTCATCACCCATTTACTAGCTGAGGGAGCCAGTGCTGTCCGAAATTGCTTCTGTGGTCATGTGGCCATTGTGACTGCACCAAGAGCATAGAACAATGTTGCCTTCACACCAAAGTGGTATCTTACTGGTATATGTTTGCATTTGCATGGAAACTGAGGAGCTGGGGTGAGTAACAGGGGCTCACCCTGTCATGCAGAGCTCGTCCCACTTTCCATCTGCCAAGCTCAGTGTCTTTAATCACTGAGCCACCGCACCTCTGTCCCTCAGCTCCCGGTAGGTGCCTTATTCAGCTGCAGGAACCCCACTGCCAACTTGCACTGCCTGTCTTTGCAATTTTGACTTTTGCTCTAAAATTTCTTGGGTTTTTTGGGGGGGGAGGGGGGAATATGTATGCATGTATGTATGTATGTATGTATGTATGTATGTATGTATGTATGTATGTATTGTGTCACAACCCCTGGTATGCCCAAATATGGGAGGAAGCATACTGCTTCTTTCTTTGTCTATTGGCTCATCACAAGAGACCATCCAGACAGAAAGCCATTATTTTCCATGTTGCCTTTGTTACATTTGTCTTGGATTTGTGCTGATAAATAAATAAAGGGAGACTAGTATAGATCTATTTCAAGCTATTTAGCTCTGAACCTAAAGGCAACAGTAAAAATAATGGCTTTCTGTCTGGATGGTCTCTTGTGATGAGCCAATAGACAGAGAAAGAAGCAGTCTGCTTCCTCCCATATTTGGGCATACCAGGGGTTGTGACACAATACATACATACATACATACATACATACATACATACATACATACATA